CTGTTCTGACCCCTTTATGTCAGTAAAAATGGTTGGAGGAGCAAAGAGCCCTGGATTTGGTCAAGGGAGAACTGAGGAAGACCGACAAAGACAACCACTGAGACTCTGGCGTGTGTGTGAGGAACAGGGCTTGTGGTGGAAACCTTAGTACACAGATCATTGGTGATCCTGAGCAGCAGTGCTGTCCATAGGCAGCTGATAATCAGCTGTTGTAACTCCATCCCAGGCCCCAGAGCAGCCCAGAAATGGAGAGGCGCACCTTAGTTTCATTACCTTTGGACTATGATTTCTGTGCTGTGCTTCTCAGAGGTGCAGAACAGTATCCCACATGTTGCATTGAAGCAGAAGCTACCTTTTAACAATGGTTCTTGGCCTCTTGGGAGATGAGGGATCTGTTGTACCAGAAATGTTGTGCTTTACTGTAATGGACCACACTATTGCAAGATGTTAAGAGCCCTCTGTTCCCAATTAACTGGAATTGCACGACTGCATTTAGGGAGAGTTGAGGGTACTGCACATCTTATAGGCATCAGTCAATGGCTTCTGTCTTCTTTTAAATATTGGGAGGCTGCATTGTTTATCGCATCCAGCTCTCTCGTATGACCCTCTACGTCTTTTCCCCACTTTTAACCTTTGTGAATAATGGATGAATACTTCTAAAACATAGGGCATCAGCAGGAATCCGAATCTTTGCCTATTTGTATGGCAAGCAGCTTCTTAGATTTAGAATCCCAAGTACTAATGTGACATTGTCATGTGTCTTTGTCAATGAGATTTAGTTGCAAAAAATGTAAATAAGGGGTCTTTTTCTTCTCTAGATACTCCTGGGGTGGCCAGCCTTTATTTATAACATGTCCTTCATCCAACATTAATAAAATGGTTCCAGTCTGCAACAGCTGTGGAAGTAACAGAGTCTTTGAATTTCAACTTATGCCAGCACTGGTCAGCATGCTGAAGAGTGTTGATGCAGGTTAAATCTTTCGTTGCTTTAACTGAATACTAGTCAATCTGCTGGTTGATTTATGATTATAGTGGCCTGGAATTTAGGCTGCTTCTTGCAGAATGTATACAGTGAATGAAATAACTATTTTTAATACCATTAAGCCAATCAAGAAGCCAACTAATATTGGAGGTAGCCTTCTGTTAGGTTGTACTCAATGCTTCTGGGGTCTTGTGAGGACAGCATCTTGTACAAGATTCACTGTTGTTCAATTTTAGCTGTTCAGTTTCCTTTTAATGAGAAGCAACATTCCCATTCCTGTTTGTTCCTATTTACTGGGACTGTTTGATCAAAGCCTCATATTTTCCTTAGTGCCTTTCCAATAAGAGAAGTCAAGAAAATTCCTGGTCCCTGCTTGTAATTAATGTGTAATACTAGTCCAAACTGAAGACTTGAGAACTGAATAAATATGTTAAAATTCTGTTTCATCACAAACAAGACTGCAGCCACATACAAGCAGCTTTATTTTATTTAAAAATCTCAGCAGGTTTTCTTTAAAATCTTGAAGTGACAAAGTACTCCATGTTTACTTAGGAGATTAAACCCTAGTCTACACTACTAACTTGTATTGGTATAACTGTCACTCCAGGGTGTGGAAAATCCATACCCCAGAGCAACAGTAATGCTAACCAAACTCCCAGCGTATACAGTGCTATGTCCCTGGGAGGGCTTCTCCCATCGATATAGCTACTGCTTCTCAAGGAGGTGGAGTACCTACACTGAAGGAGAAACTCTTCCGTCAGCATAGGTAGCATCTTCACTAAACTCTACAGCAGCACAGCAAGTGTAGACAAGCCCTAAAAGTTAACAATATTTGAGGTGAGGAGAGTTTAGTTACTAAACAAAACCATGATTATGTATTTATATCAAAATGTAGTTCAGAACACTGATCATTTAGGCTTCATTGAAACCAACCTTCTACACCACGGGTCAGCAACGTTCGGCACGCGGCTTGCCAGGGTAAGCACCCTAGCGGGCCGGGCCAGTTTATTTACCTGCTGACGCGGCAGGTTCGGCCGATCACGGCCCCCACTCCCACGGTTCGCTGTCCCGGGCCAATGGGGGCGGCGGGAAGTGGTGCGGGCCGAGGGATGTGCTCGGGACGGCGAACCGCGGCGAGTGGGGGCCGCAATCAGCCGAACCTGCCGCGTCAGAAGGTAAATAAACTGACCCGGCCCGCTAGGGTGCTTACCCTGGCGAGCCGCGTGCCGAACGTTGCCGACCCCTGTTCTACACTGTGGATTATGGTAAAGATGTTCCAGACAAATTGGATTGTGATTTTTCCAAATACATACTGAACTATATTCTTTGTGTTTATATCCATTCAACCTCAATGAAGCCACAGTGGTTGATACAAATGTGAGAGAACAGAATTTGACCCACTGTCTTTTTTTAAAAATTGGAGTAAATTTTAAGGTAGTATGCCCGAGGCCTGCTTAAAGTTCTTTGTGAATTTCATTTAAAGGATTGACAATTTAAAAAAAATCACACTTCCATCTGAATTTTATAACTATTACAGTAATTTTTTGTATTGTAACTGACAGAGAAATCTCATTTCTAAATTACTGTATGCTGTTTTGTACACGAGATGGATAATGAAATGTATATTCTCACATTAGAAAATAATTATATTTTAGAGGCATCTGATAGGAGAGAGACTGTGTAATTATATATGTATTACAGAATGATTAACATTCAAATTAAGTTTTATGAAGCAATGGAACATTTCTGCAGCATAGATGACAAACAGGTATAACCAAAACTATATAGTTTTTCCTTAAACATAAGTCAATTTTAACCAAACCTTCTTGGGCTTCTGGGGTCCAACTTTCCTTTAGATACTGAATTATTAATATCTCTCAGCCTATCATTAGTATTTGAAATCCTGAATTAATGAAGTGGAATATGAGTTTTAGATTATTAATTATTATTATTATTAATAATGTCAAAGAACTTCTAAGTTTAAATGGAACCTCTTAGGGTCCAGAAACTTAGCACCCAATTAAGCCCAGTATCCTGTAAACACTTACACATTTGCTTACCTTTAGGCATGTGAGTAGTCCATTGGCCTAGCTACTGCCAGTGCCCCCTTACCCCATCATATGCTTACAAGACATTTATAATTAAGTCATTAGGACTTCTCACATGTTTAGTGGAGCATGTGCATAAGTGTTTGCCAGATTGGGACACTAATTAGCATCCCACAGTTGTTTAAAATTGTACCAGTCTACCTATCTGCTCCACTCTAAATAGATATTTTAATTACCTGTGGAGAAAGGGCTATATTTTTAGAACTGCACATGAACAAATGGCCAATTAGGTATGTAAATAGCTATTTGTTGCATATTGCTTATACATTTTTGTGAATGCAGTTATAAACAGCTGCCTTTTAATATGTTAACCTAATACACTACATGTTGTAAACTCTTAAATATTACTTTTTTCAGATCTGTCAGTGGAATTTGGAACAGTCATAGTTTACACATGTGAAAGAAGCTGTTGGCCAGCTAATCATCAGAACCCCTTGGAGGAATTTATTTTTATACAAGAAGATCCAGATCAGCAATTATTTAAATAAAACACTTATTTTCTTGAACAAATAATGTTCTTATTTGAGTAAAATGAAAGTATTTGTGCAGCAAAATGTCACCAAAATATGACATTTTGAAGTCACATGGTAGTGTGGGTTTTTAGTAATTCTTACAAAGAGAACTCCAAAACTGCTGTGCTGGGAAGTGAATATTAAGATTTGCTACTTTTGCTTATGTACACAATTTTGTATAGTGAGTTAGTAGTACATATTCTAGCTAGTAACTATGACTACTTTGAAACTGTTAGGGATGGGAGGGAAAGGAGGAAGGTTGTTCTTATTACACTTGCTCTAGCTTTATTTTGTTTGGCTTATGCTAGCTAGGCAGAGTCCTGCAACTGTTCATCAGGAAAAGTTGACAACCCCCCACCCCCCTGTAGGGTTCTATATACCAGTCAGATTAAGTATAAAATACAGGCATTTCAATTGCATTTCTTTATCTTCAATTGGCATTAAGTGAATATGCAGTTTGTGATCCAAGAAAGTGCATTCTTACTATGACTACTGCACTAAGGATGATGAGGGTCTATTTATGAATTTCTGCTGTGATTCTAACACTGAGTTCCAGATGCACCATCTCTCCTTGCATTGAGCTTTGTTAAGAAACATTAACGAGGAGCACAATAGGGGTTAGGTATGGGCTTGATTGTGAAAACAGGGATATAAGAAGTTTGAGTCCCAGCCCATTTACACACAAACGTTTTTGTATGGGAAGCTTCTAGTACAGACAGCACACACTGCGTTTGTATTTAGCACGTAGAAGTGAAGCTAAGCTGTGCCTCTAAGGCTAACACGTTTTAAAAACAAGTTAAAACATTATTCCTTTGTAGATAAGCATTGCTAAGCTATGATTACAAATGAAAAGATTTTTTTTAACCGAGATGGTGTAGGCACCACGCAGATGAGATCAAAAAGCAATAGACCCCCCTCTGCTTACACTTCAGATAAGGCGGTTTTCACAGCACGATAGCAATCCTCCCCAAACTGTTGGTCTTTAAGGTGCCACTAGACTCCTTGTTGTTTTTGTAGATACAGACTAACACGGCTACCCCCTGATACTTGACTCCCCAATCTGTGTTTTTGCAGTGAAGACACAATTGGGGGGAGGACAGGACTACAGCCACTGGATCCCAGCTGGCAGAGGGCGGAAGCCGTTGTCACCCTCAGCAGCACGTGACCCAAGCCCACCAGGAGCCATTTTTCTGAGCCCTTCGCTAGAGTAGACTTGTGTACAATACAGAAACTGAGCCCGGCTCTTCTGCGTCTCCACCCGCCGCTGTCGCCACTTGGCCCTCAAGCCACGCTAGGCACGTTCACTATCGGCTCCTGGCGTTCGGAGCGGCGCGTTCTCCTCCCCGCCGGCAGGGGGCGCTGCGACAGTTACAGGCAGCGGAGGCTGCTTCAGTGTGGGCTGCGGCTCGTCGTTGTCCCGAGCGCGGCCCGGCGCTGAGGAGAGACGCGCGGAATCGCTGCCCGCCCGCGCGCTGCCTCCCCCTCGCCATGTCCGTGCCGGTGTCGGGAGCCCTGCGCAGGGAGCTGGCGGAGGCCGTGTCCGGGGCTCGGCTGCTGGTGGTGGGAGCCGGCGGCATCGGCTGCGAGCTGCTCAAAGATTTGGTGCTCACCGGCTTCAACAACATCGACGTGGTGCGGCCCGGGGCCGGAGCGACCGCCGGGCGGGGAGAGGGGACCGGGGCCGGGGAGCGGATACGGGCTTGAGGAGAGCGGGTCGGAGGGAGCCGAGCCCGGCCCGCTTTGCGGGGGTGGAAGCAGGTCGCGGGGGGCGGGCAGCAGCAGCTCCCGGGGCCGCCGGCGGAGTGTGCGCCGTGCTCCCCTCCCCCCTCATTGTGTGTTTTCAAACTGCTCCGACCCGCCAAAGCTGCAGGCACTAGGGAGGGGCTGCACCGTCCCGCAGGGCCCCCTGCGCATGGGCCTCCGGGGCTGGAGGGAGAAGAGGTTACAGTGGGTGGGAGAGGTGGGAGCTGGCTTGGCAGGGCTGACGGGGGATGGCCTGCGTTGGGCGGATGGGGAGTACTTACCGCTTGTGTGAAAAGAAACCCTGACAGAAAATAAATAAAGTTCCAAGCCCGGGGACCCCCAGTATCAAACCCAGTGTAACGATGGTGCGCGCTTTGCGTGCTGTAGGAATTGGCTGTCCAGAAAATACTGAAGACTAGAGTGAGATCTCTCGCTCTCCAGGAATTCAGATGTGTTCTCTGAGAATTCACTAATAACATCTGCATGGGAAGGCACCGCTGTCTGTCTTTCCCCCACAGGGATTGTACAGTCACATGCGAAGTAGAAGCGTCACTTCTCCGAAAGCTAGTAGACAGCAACTCATGTGGGAAATAGCATATCGTGTTTGCCGCTTTTCAGCTGCCCCCTTAAAATCTTAGCAAAACGTCGGTGTTAATTTTTGCTTAATGCTTGCTGTCTCTTAGTAGAGATGTTAATATCTTGAACAGACTGCTGTTGTAGTCTGCTGGGTGACACTAAAAGCGAAATATGTGGGTGGTGAAATTGTATTTTTAGATACTGAGTTGTAAAACTGTCAGTCTTGAAAGTCCAATTCTGATACTTTCTTCAGGCTGTTGCTTTCACTTTTGTTTCCTGATGCTAATCTCTAAACAGGAGTATAGAAGAAGAGGCAAAAAAAAAAAAAGAATATTAGAATTTTGGTCAGAAAATTAATGTCTCCAAATAAACCTGGTTTTCAGCTCTTAATTCATTACTATCATGTAATGCAGTTGTGAAGAAACTTTTTTAAAAAGGCAAATTATAAATTTAGCAGGTATGTTAGGCACCTGTCTTATATCCATCACTGTTTTGACCTGTCTGCATTTGGCCATAAACAAAGTTTGAAAATGTGTGGAAAACACAGATTTTAAGTTTAGTTCTGAGAAGTTTTGTTCATGTCCAAACGTGCTTAACAAACCAAATTAGGAACTTTTATCTGAAATCACGTTTTGACACTTGGCAACTGGTTTCCAGACCCATGGCCATGTTCAGCCATTAGTATGTTATTCCACAAGCAGTCCCATTTATTTCAATATGTTCCGGGTGGAGTCAACATTAATATTGTGCCAGTGAACCAAACCTAGCAAAGAGAAAAAGATGAACATTTTTCTTCATTGTGAGGCATTTTTTGTGTTTTCCTCACTTTGTTATTACTGGACTCTTGTTAAAAAATATCAAGTACTTTTGTTCCAAAGATTGCTGTGGCTGCCTTGGAAAATCAAGGTTTATAAGCCAGGTAAATTTTCCACTGGCATGTTTAGTATTTTGCTTGTGCGCCTGTTTTAGGACCCTGTCCAACTCTAGCATAAGTAGGGATTTGATCAGGTCCTTAGTTTTGTTCCCTTTACTCTTCTTTCTCTCTCTCTCTCTCTCTCTCTCTCTTTTCAACAGCAGTTTGAGAGTGTTATCAAAATTTGACTGTGGAGAAAGGGGCTGAGGAATAGACGAGAATGAGAGCAAAGCTATAATTGTGCAAAATACTTTTGTTATTTTTCAAAAATTATTTTTGTCCAATATCAGTAAAATGAAATGTAAGGGTTCTTAGGAATTAGGACAGTGTCAATTTGGGCATGTTGCACATCTTGGATATTTTGTGGCATATATTTTTAATCTGCCTCATGGCATGAGTAGGCATTGATGTCAGCAGGTTTGTCTAACAAAATTTTATTGTTGAACATAATTTTGATCGATCAAGTTAGGTGACAGTGCTGAACATGATTAGTCCTCTACACTGATTGCTAAGTTATGGTCAGCATTTTCATCTAACTCAGTTTTTCAAAACAGTTCAAATGTGATCAGTTTTTGATATGCAGAACTAGTTTGCGTAATCCCTGTATTAGACTGTAGTGAAGGCTACTGTGTCACGATGTAAACTGAAATATACTAAGATACACATTCATCTGGAAAAAGAGAAATAGAAGCTACTGCATACCTGAAATGTGACTGAGTTAATATTGATTTAAGAACTTTCACTTCTGCACTTCACTTGATAAACTACAGTGGATCTGAAAATTGTGCTCTCTGAAGATAGCATGAAGAACTACTCTATTTTAATGTTACATACTCTGCTTTTGATCTGTTTAGTTTGTAAATGTGAAACGGCTGCCTCTTATGTACTTATAGATTGATCTGGATACTATTGATGTCAGCAACCTAAACAGGCAGTTTTTGTTTCAAAAGAAACATGTTGGGAGGTCAAAAGCACAGGTAAGGAGAAAATTTTGAAAAAACTTACCTTTTTCTAATGAAAATAATAAACATCTTTCATGTTATGAATGTAATATTAAAATAGTTATTGTACATACTGAATCAATGTTGAAAATGTATGATTCATATATAGCTTGTAATATTCTTTTCTGCTTTCTAAAATAATTGATGGAGTAAGTATTAGTTGATACAGTATTTCTTCATTTTAAAAAATTAAACCCCAGTATTAATGCATAATGTTGCAGATTTGTTGGATCTTGAATGTAAGGAAGAAATATTGGACTACCAATTGTTTGTTCTTTTCCAGGTTGCCAAGGAAAGCGTGTTACAGTTTTACCCAGAAGCTAATATTATAGCTTATCATGACAGTATCATGAAGTATGTTTGTCTTAAATTTTATTTAAATACTCTTATTATTGGGAATTTCATTCATATGTATGTATATGTATGTATGGATATGTATAAAACATGCAGTTTTAAGGAGGAGATTTTATAAAATTACTAAATATTGAAAAATTAGCTATAAATATGAGGCTACAGCAAACTGAGTGACTTGAGTTTGGGCATGAACTTATGAATTTTCTTTTAATGATATTTATTCAAATGTTTGTATCCAATTTCTCCTTTTTTCAACCGTTGTGGAAGTTTTCTAGAACAGTGTTACTCAGCCTTTTTGATACCAGGGACCAGCTTTCTGCCTTCCTACACTGTGTCAGACCGACACCAGTCCACAGACAGGTCATTGAGAAACACTGTTCTAGAACATTGAATTCTGCTTGGGCCTCATGTACTAAATGGATAAATATGTAATTTGAATATTTTTTAAAAGTACGTTGAGTTCTTAAAAACCAGAAGACACTTTAACATGCGTGGAGATTAACACATTTGCATATTCTACTCTTATACATGTGAAACACTCTTAAAATCATAATTTGACCCTAACTCTGTGTGTCAACAGTTAACATATTTAAAAATCTAGTTAACAGTTAACGTCTTTAATGTACTAGATCAATACAGTACAAAATACATCTTTCCATAAGCTGGAGTAATTCTAATCGTTTCATTTGTGTTTTTCCAGTTCTTTCAATACCACGTTTTACGTTGTGTTAATGTTAATTGTTGACACACAGGCATTTAAATCTTTATTAGCTTCACCCTTTTTCTTCATTCCTAAAATTTTTAAATCCATTAAATGTATTTTCCAGAATATACTTCTCTTCTCCCATCAGCCCCTTTCCCCTGCCTTTAAAAAAAAAAATGGAATTTTTTTCTAATTGGGTTACAAACGTTATAAACAGGTTAACAGTTAATGTTATAACATTTGCTAAATCAACATCGCTACAGTATTTGGTTTAGAAAGTTAAAATGCGAATTAAAAGATGCAGTCAAATACATTTTTATAGTTCAACTTTTTGTTTTGCTTTCCCTTTATTAGTTGTAAAACGCTTCAGCATTTGGAAAAATTCTTTGCATATTAAATTTGCCTCTTTCACTACCAGACATTAACATTTCCCCCCCTTTTTTCCAGTGGAATTTATATGCACATCGTGCTTTCTGTTTACAAGTTTTTTCATAGCTATTAAATGGGGACTTTGGGGATATGTAGTGCATTCTTCCCCAGTGTGGCTGAAAAGATTTTTGTGTGAATTATAATGGTCAATATTGGCAGAAATTTGCACAGTTCTGGAAATACTATTGGTGAGTTAACTACAACTCCAGAACTAAAAAGGAGAATTTTCACCCTGCTTTGGATCATGGGTGTGATTTTTTTTTTTTTTTTAAGTGTAACTACAAAGGACATTTTCCACCAGACAGTTTTATAGACTAAATGTCAGTAATAATAGGAGAGGTAATAAATAATGCTGTTCAGTAAAAGTAGTTCTTTATTTTTAACAGTTGGTGGTTATGTATTTTGTTTGTGCATATATTGTGTTTGTATGTATATTATTCTATTATATTCTATGTATATTATTCTAAACATTTCTAAAAGTTTCTGTGTGTTTAAGAACTTTGAGTAATAATACCATATCTCGGAGAGAAATTAAAACTAAATTTAGAAAAAAAAAAAAACCTTCCAAAATAACTTATAACTAATAGCATTTTTAAATAAAAAAGTCATATTTTTAAAGTCCACTGTTTTGGGCTTCTAAGTCCAGTAGGGAAGCTTGGAATAGCTCCTTTTCAGTAGTATAATGTTCCCATTCCTAGCCTTGCAGGGTTGAGGAATATGAGACTTTAAATTGGGCAGAGGACAGGTGAAGTAGTTAAAGGTGAGTGGTAAACTTAGCTTATGTCTGTGCAATTTATCACATGGATATCATTTCTGCTTACATTGTTTGTGTGTAGAATTTCTGCTGTGCCATAATAACCAAAAGCCATTTAGTAAGCTGGTTTTAATATTTTTTCTTTTCTACAGCCCTGACTATAATGTAGAATTCTTCCGGCAGTTTACATTGGTTATGAATGCTTTGGATAACAGAGGTGAGGTTTCTACTTTTTTATGGCTTTATTTCTGAGATGAAATAAATGTGACCTGCACATAGAAGTGTAGAAGCTAAAAATTACGGAAATCTGATGTCAATTCTGACATTAATGCTCTTTGCAGCCTCAGGTAAGTCACTCAGGCTCTGTCTCTGTTTCGCCACCTGCAAAATGAGGCTACTGCTTACCTACTTCACTAGGGCGGCTTTAACGTATCCTTCATGTTTGTACAGTTTGGACTTTGAAAATGAACAGTGGTGTATATAGTAAGTGCTAAGAATTAAAAGTGTGTCCCCCATGGTAGGAAGGTCCCCTTGATGTGTATACATAACTACATTTTAGTTGGAGGTTTCTATATTAAAAACAGCTGTTAATGTATTGTACTAACTGAAAGATTGGTGTTATGAGAGAGGCATGGTGGTGTGTATAATGAAATGGGGTAGATGCAGATATATATTATGCAGAAGGCTGGTCTCCAGCCTTTCCAAAGTCAAACATTCTTTTTTAGTTAATATTAAAATTAATCCTGAATGCTTTCTCTTCCAGCTGCACGTAACCATGTGAACAGGATGTGTCTGGCTGCTGATGTTCCTCTTATAGAAAGTGGAACTGCAGGCTACCTTGGACAAGTAACAGTTATCAAAAAGGTTAGTTGGTATAACGTTTTGTTGTTGTTTGATTCATTGATTCTTTCGGACAACATAGGCTGGATAATGTCCTTTATGTTTATTGAGATATTGCTAACATTGTCATTTTTTTAATGATGAATACCATAACAATAGCTATCACAGTGTGACTTACGGAAATAGTTATCTTTGCCTGAATCTATAGGGAGTGACAGAGTGTTATGAATGTCATCCTAAACCAACTCAGAAGACTTTTCCAGGCTGCACAATTCGCAACACTCCATCAGAACCTATCCACTGCATTGTGTGGGCAAAGTATTTGTTCAAGTAAGTAAACATATTTTAAGAAAATAGCTATCACACTGCACACTGTTTTCTAATTTCTAAATGTATCTCCAGCAACAAAAAAATTAAAATAGGCAAATTAAAAATTACTTTACAGCATCCTTTTTTCTTTTCCAAACTTCTACCACTTTTGAGGAATGCACTGAAAACCTACTGATAACTTGCCCAATCTGTTTCACGTAATGATAGAACAAACTCTAAAAACAGACTGATATTCTAGTATCACAAAGAGAAACTGGCAAAAAAAATTTTCAGGCACATTGATGAGAGTTGATTGGAGGTGTGTTTGCCTATTGCTTCATTATAAATCGTGTTTTGTGGGAAGCCAAGGCATATTTGCTACCATAATTACTTCATTGATTGAAGAAATTTGCTGCCTTTTTAGAGGCATCCGCTTACTTCAGTAGAAATAAAAGGGATAGACACAGTATTGTTGGAGTTATATAAATGAGGTAATTTAAGAGAAACTTGGCTTTACAGCTCATTTTGTTTCCATTTAGGAAACAACGGTGCCATTTAGCTTTGTGTTGTCTTGCTGAAAAGAACATAATTTAAGATTAGATGTTACCTGCAAGATCTCAGTATGACCTCGGGACTACATTTCTGAGCTGGAGATTTATTATTACAAAAGTTTTCTCTTCCTTTCATGTTGACTGGTTGATAGCAGTAAAGATCATAAGCTTTGAGGGAAATGTATTAAAGGCAGTACCCTCTCGACAGACATTTGAAAGGCCACGAATACTAACTCCTTCTGTGCCTTAGTTTGTTTTCAATTATAAACTGCATTACATGATAGATGAGTCTAGCTTCCTGTTGAGCCAGAATAAAGAGATAGAGGTGATTTTTGATAGTTTCTTGCCTTTTGTTTCAAATATAAGTTCCCAGTCATAGGTCTTGGTGTTCCTTCAAGAGGTTAGGTCATGCAGCCTTAAAACAAAATTGCCATGAGATGAACTTTTTTATTCTGGAATTTTTCTGTTCATGGGAAAGATAAATAGCTCTACTGCAGGATGGGACTAGTTAATGTCTCAGTCCATGTTTGTAAGAACTTTCCATTTGGAATTCCATTCTTCACTTTATATCAGCTCTATAGATGTGCAGACTATGGGCATTTTGTTTTCTTGCCCTATAACTGTGTGTGACATTACCCAGGGTACAATCTGAATTGTTTAACAGCTGTGTCCCCTCAATTCTCCAGCCTGGGTGCCTTTTACCCTGCTTCCCTGTGAGAGCAATCACTCCTGGTCTGCATGTAAATTACTCCCAGCTATATTGTATGAGTGCTATGGCCAGCCGCTCTTGAATTACACTTCAGAGCAACACCAGCAATTTCCCAGTTCCAGACTTTCCCCAGAAGTGTGCCCTCTCCTGGACAACACAAGCTCATATAAAGTCCATCATTTCATTAATAGAAAATGAAATGCACAAATCTTGTTATCCCAAATGAAGTTTCCTGAACACTTCAAACATACTGGTTTAGATAAAATAATAAAACAAGTTTATTAATTATAGAAATAAACATTTTAAGTAACTACAAGTAATGAGGCATAAAAGTCAGAATTGTTTACAAAGAAATAAAAGGTAAAAACGGAACTAATACCTAACTTAAGGTAAGTGAATTCAAAGCAAAAGGTGTCTCTCACCACATGTTCTGGCAGTCTTACTAGCAGAATTCCTTTCAGACAGGATTCCCCCCTCAGTCCAAAGCTGTTTTTTTATTCCTCAGGTGTTGTGGTTGCTGTGGGGAGAGAGAAAGGAACAACTTGGGGCATCTGTTCCTCATTCTTATCCTTTTCCTCCTCTTTGAGAATCATCTCCAGCTGAGATTCAGGAGAGAGAGAGTCTGAGGGGACAGGAACCTCCAGTTGTTCCTTTACCAACATGTAAATTTCTCACTCTCACCCTTTTTCCTGCCAAAGAATGGCCATTTAACCAGGTGATGGTCTATTTGATTTTGTTGACACCTGGCTGAGGCGTCAGTTTGCCTTTTGTCTCTGAGGAATTGGTTTGTGACTGCTTCCCCAGTTTTGGAAAATGTCTTAGTAACATCATTCAGTAGAATCTTATAACTTTATATACAATGTTGGCACACACATTGTACTTGGACAATAATGATCAGCAAATTATGAGTTTTCAAATGATACCTCATGAGACATACTTTGTGCAAAATTTGTCATAGTTTTGAAAAAGGAATGAATATGGGGTACCGACTGTCACGCTGTGTATGGCTGACTTTTTATTAGTCTGTTCTCTTATCAAAGTATGCTCCCCTCTCAGAATATTTTGTGCATCATTTTTGGGGTCCAGATAAATTTGGTATATACATCACACTTCCATGCTCTAGAAGCTCTGAGAAATTATCCTGTGGCGCAGGGGTGGGCAAACTTTTTGGCCCAAGGGCCACATCTGGGAATAGAAATTGTATGGTGTGCCATGAATGCTCACATAATTGGGGTTGGGGTGCGGGAGGGGGTGAAGGCTCTGGGATGGGGCCAGAAATTAGTTCAGGGTGCGGGCGGAGGCTCCCGGCTAGGGCAGGGGGGGAGGGGTTGGGCTCTGGGTGGGGCTGGGGATGAGTAGTTTGGGGTGTAGGAGAGTGCTCTGGGTTGAGACCGAGGGCGGGAGGGGGATCAGAGCTGGGGCAGGAGGTTGGGGAGTGGGGAGAGGCTCAGGGGTTCAGGCTTACCTCAAGCGGCTCCCAGAAGCAGCGGCATGTCCCTTCTCCGGCTCTTGTGCAGAGGTGTGGCCAGGCAGCTGCACGCTGCCCTGTCTGCAGGCACCGCCCCTGCAGCTCTCATAGGAGCTGGACAGGGGCCATGCCACGGCTTCTGGGAGCCTCATGGTGCGGCCCCCAACCCTGCTCTCCAGCTGGAGCTCATGGGCTGGCTTAAAATGGCTTGTGGGCCGTAGTTTGCCTACCCCTGCTGTGGTGGCTTCTCACAATATAAATACTAGATTTAACACAGCTGTGATGGTCAAGTAGAATAGACTGGGATAATTAAAGCATCTATCACTAATTTTTTATGACAGGCTTTAAAAAAACAGGTATAAATAAGTAACTACTTACTTAACAATTATCTTATGATAATCTTGTGTTTTGTTTTTTAAATACATAGTCAGTTGTTTGGTGAAGAAGATGCTGATCAGGAAGTATCCCCTGACAGAGCTGATCCTGAAGCTGCCTGTGAGTGACATAAATCAGTCACTTCATTGTATATCAGTTGTGTTAATAAAAATGTCCTATTCAGTTTTACAGCTAGTTGTATGATATTCAATTAATATTAGTCTATTAAGAGACAATCCTGAGAACTGTCTACTTTCCCTTCTCCTTTTGGATTCTCTGATAGGCCAACGGATTGCAGAGGGAAAAAACCTCTGAATACTTCAAAGACAGGTGAATGTTCAGTTCTATTCCCTGGATAGCTTTAGTTTATCCACGATGAAAAATATTTTGGGTCACAACTTGCTTTTTTTAAATTCAAAAACATAATCAACCTTTTATTTTATAGGGGAGCCAACAGAAGCAGAAGCCAGAGCAAGAGCATCTAATGAAGATGGTGATATTAAACGTGTTTCAACTAAGGAATGGGCTAAATCAACTGGATATGATCCAGTTAAACTTTTCACTAAGGTAGTAGTTTTGCTCCCAATATGTATTTTTGTTTGAAGCGTGTGCATATTATAAACTTAAGTGAAATTTTTCAACTTGGATGCTTTAAGTTAGCAGTCAAATCTGATTATTTAAGAAAAATAATAATCATGATATGATACTGAGGCCTTGTCTACACTGCCACTTTACAGCGCTGAAACTGTCTCACTCAGGGATGTGAAAAAACACCCACCTGAGTGATGCGAGTTTCAGCGCTGTAAAGTGGCAGTGTAGACAGTGCACCAGCACTGGGAGCTACTTCCCTTGTGAGGGTGGGTTTTTTTACAGCGGCGACTACACAGCCACGTTAAAGCGCTGCCGTGGCAGCGCTTTAATGTTGGTAGTGAAGACATACCCTGACAGTAGTTCTTGGTGTAGCATTGTGGTTCTACCACGTATACTCTTTTCCCTGTGCTCCAGTGGAGGGACAGTTACCAGCTGCCTCTGTTCCACCAGAGTAATGACTAAATGGTAGTTAAATTTACAGCTGATTTAGTTATTTTTAAAGAGGAAAAATTCAAAAAATATTTTTGAGCTCTGTGGGAGCCCCTCCGACATACTCAGACTGGCGCCTGCTTATGGGAAGGTTCTCCTTTGTGCTCTGGGTGCAACCAGTCCCAGGAACAGGGATGTAGATGCTGTTTTAGAGTCCCTCCCCAAACGGTTGTACCTAGTGGACAGAAGTTAGGAACAGGCATAAGGACTGTGATGTTAAGCAGTGCAGGCTGTTACCATGGTCCTTAGAATTAGACAACTATTTAAGTTGACATATAGGTAAAAATGCCCTTCAGCACACGTGCCCATACTTGCAATGACTACTTCAGTGTGTGTTTGTGTGGTATCACTATTCCCTTGGCACTTCATGGATGATAAAATATTTTGGGTGCTAAGCACAGCTTATTTCTATTTTACATAAAATAGTTAATGTTTTAGGAGTAACTTTTCAATATCTATTTCCCCTTTGTGCCTTCTTGAAGGGAGGGGAATTGTTATATAATTGTAATCACTGTGGCTGAAAGTGCTCTCCGGTAGAGAAACACAAACTCTTAATCTTAAAGTAGATTTAAAAATGAAGTAAAACAAGGTACATATCTTTACTTTGCTTTTCATTTTTCATATTGTTATGTAGCTTTTCAAAGATGATATTAGATATCTGTTGACAATGGATAAACTGTGGAAAAAAAGGAAACCTCCTGTACCATTGGACTGGATTGAAGTACAGAATCAAGGTAATCTTTTTTCCCTTTTTTTTTTTCCTTTCATTTTTTTTTTGTTCTTGTATGGTATACTTAAGAATTCAACCATATAAAACTGTATGCACTTCACATATCATTGTAACTATTTAAAAATATTGATTTTGACTTTATTTAATTCTTTGAAGATTTGCTGTTTCTATGGAGAATGAAAATGCCTTTCTAAATTTGACTTGCATTTGCTATTTCAGGTTTTAAGTACACAATTCTGTAGTTCTCATTTTAAAAAACTGTATGTCACGTCTTCAGGTGAAGCCTCATAGAATACACTGATATATCCTCAACTTTAACAATCAAGTGTTGTTTAAACTATACTTCATTCTTGACAATAAAAATGTCTCATACTGAGATTGTCTTTGGACTCCCTTCTGTGTTTGTATTAGTTACAGCAATTTTGCGTTTTCAGCAGTCTTACTGATATGAATATACTACAATTTAGCTTTTGAAAATGCAGAAGTAAGTGCAGATTTGTTATAAACTATTTCAATCACTCTAGTTTGTGGTTTGTAATTGCATGTTTTCTAAATGGAGTACAATTTTACTAAAATTGGCAAATCTGACATCTTTAAGAAGACTTCTATGAAATTCCTAAATATTTGTAATCTTAACTTTTTTTTCTTTCATTTTGAAGAGAAAAACATGTCTGATCAACAGAATGACTCCTCTTTAGGCCTGAAAGACCAACAGGTTCTAGATGTCAAGAGCTATGCACGTCTGTTTTCAAAGAGTGTTGAAACTCTGAGAGTTCACCTAGCTGAAAAAGGTGATGGAGCTGAGCTTATATGGGATAAGGTTAGTTCAGAAGATGTATAAGAACTGGTCATATGCTAAGTAAACATGCTAATCAATTATTAAAGGCTTAGTTTGATTGTAGAGCAGTACTTCTAGGAACAAAAAATAGATCTGGCTATTCATGTGAATGCCTGTTTGTACTTAGCCTTTAACAGATATGTACAACAATAGTTAAAACAGTCTGGCAGATAAAATTGTAAAGTGCAGGTAATTCCATAATAAAGTACGTATATTTGGGGGAGTGCAGGGCTGCTGTCCACTTTACCCATCCTGGTCCACAGCCAACCCGCTGCTAGGACCTTGCCCCCTCCCTCCTGAATGGGGAGGCAGATATAAAAGAGCAATGGATTTACCCATGGTCACACATTAAGCAGAAGGATCAAATATTTGGAAGTAAAATAATTACAGTAACTCCTCACTTAAAGTCGTCCCGGTTAATGTTGTTTTGTTTTGCTGATCGATTAGGGAACATGCTTGTTTAAAGTTGCACAGTGGTCCCTTCTAACATCTTTGGCAGCTGCCTGCTTTGTCTACTGCTTGCAGGAAGAGCAGCCCGTTGCAGCTAGCTGTTGGGGGCTTGTAACCAGGGTGGACTGGCAGCTCCCCTATCAGCTCCTCTATCAGCTCCCCCTCCTCTAAGTTCCCAGTGCTGCAGCCACCCAGCAGGCTAGCAATTGCAGCTGCCCTCTCCCCACTGCCATGTGCTGCTCCTGCCCTCTGCCTTGGAGCTGCTCCCCAAGACTCCTGCTTGCTGTGAGGGGGGGGGGGGAGGGAAGGAAGAGGGAGGCTAATGTCAGGGTGTCCCCCTTCCCCTGCTCCTGCACCCCACTTACCCCATCTTCCATAGAGCTGGGGGGACACACCAGGGCTCAGGAAGGAGGGAGCTTGCAGCATCTGGTCTCAGCAAGCTGATCTAATTAACAAGGCAGTGTACTTAAAAGGGGAAATGCGCATATCTCTCTCTCACACATACCCCCTCCCTCCATTCCTGCTGCCTTGTAGAGTGAGAAAGTTAACCCTTGAGGGCTCAGCTAATTGCTAGTTCATCATTTAGCACTAAGGGAAATATCCCACCCTCTGATTCCTCCACCTCAACCAAGCTTCACAATCATCATCACTGTGTACCAATATTAAATTGTTTAAAACTTCTACTGTGTATGTGTATATATGTATATAATATAGTCTTTTGTCTGGTGAAAAAAATTTCCCTGGAACCTAACTCACTCATTTATATTAATTCTTATGGGGAAATTGGATTTGCTTAACATGGTTTCGCTTAAAGTCGCATTTTTCAGGAACATAACTACAAGGTTAAGTGAGGAGTTACTGTACTTTTAAAAGTTGACACATCTGCTAGAGCAGTGTGGAGCAGTTTTGCCACTTCTAGTTGTGGCTTTTAAAATAATTTTACTTTGTTAGTCAGAAGAGAGATATGGTAATACCTTTTATTGGACCAACTTCTGTTGGTGTAAGGGACAAGCTTTCAAGCTTCTACCAAGCTTGTCCAGTCTACCAACAGAAGTTGATTCAGTAAAAGATATTACCTCACCCACCTTGTCTCTCTCATATCCTGGGACCAACACGGCTACAACAGCGCTTGAAACAACAATGGAAGATACTGAATTTATTAGTCATATCCATTTAATTCCTCTCCAATATAGGCCCTTACACAGAGGTGTAAGGATGGAGCCAATTACTGTGTAAAGCTAGTGCAAAACTCTAACCATAGACATCTGATATATTATGAAACTTTGTTAAAGAAAAGTGAGGAACAGAAGAGTTGATCTGGCCATTGTCTGAACATCAGAAATAATGTGATCTTGTTTGTGAGCTGTGGCTATCTGAGTAGAAATGAACAACGGAGAGTTTCTTTTTAAAATGACCTCACCACACTTTAAGCAGTGGGGGCCATTGTCTGGCTTATCAGAAAAGGCCAGGGGCAGCTTCATGTCAGGTCAGTGTGGGAATGTTAACCATCCTCCCCAGGTGACCAGAAGAAAGGAGGGACTATTTATGTCCACGCAGATTGGCCTAGACAAGGGGGATATATTTATTTTTTTGCCTTCACCAAAGCTGGTTGGGGGCAAAAAAAGTTAGCAGGGATTAGGCTGTGATGTTGCAACTCGTGTAAGCTTGGGGCTCATGCAAGTACTCCATAGGGAAGGGATGCAGTGATTAGATAAAATTGGTAAGGGACTTAAAGGAGGTACTCCTTAAAGGTGCGGAAACAGGGGCAGGGGTTCAGGACTCTTGTGACTGGTACAGCAGGGAGTAAATCCATTGCTCTTTTATAGCCCCCCACTCCCTATTCAGAAGGAGGAGGCAAGATCCTAGCAGTGGGTTGGCCATGGGCCAGGATGGGTAAAGTGGGAATGTGGACAGCAGCCCTGTACCCCCCAGGTATATGTACTTGATTTTGGAATAACCTGCACTGTACAATTTTTTCTGCCAGGTACTTCCAGACATTTAGGAATAAAATTACAGCCTAATTAAACCGCATCCAGTGTCTCATGTCCTCTTTTTGGCATAGCCGAACAATAGTCTTTCTGCAGTACACTTGTATAGTAAAAGATCTGGATTGTTGTACTGCCATTTCTGAAAAAAATGTGGTTGGAACAAAGAATTGTTTATAGAAACAACATATAAGAAGTGTCAAATTTCAAACTGAATTATCAGTGAATCCAATAATGTCAATATAATACAAAAAGACAAAATAAAAGATATGACTTCAGTCACCTTGTCTCTCTAATATCATGGGTCTGACATGGCTACAACTACACAACATACAATAAAATATAAACACAGATTTAAAAAGACAAAACAGTTAAGATGTCAAATTAGTAATAGATAATATAAAGTCTTAATATTATTAATACATTTTTTTTAAAAATCCCACTAAAGCGCTAATCCTGCAAGCTACTATGCATCAGCATACCATCAGGATCTTCACTTAAATGCCATAAGTTCAAGACTGTTTTTCTTCATAGTTGAAAACATCCAACACCAAATACAGGAAAATGCTTTTATGCTGTATTTTAGGGTCTTTCCATATTGGCAGTTGTTTGATAAAAGTAGAATCCTGAACTCCATGGTTTGGCTTTGACGTGAAGGAGAAAGATACTTTTATTTTTTCATTGGATGCCAGTGTGATAGAAGAATGGTCACAGATTTGGAAATTAGGAGGTTCTGAATTCTAATCCTGGCTCTGTTGCTGACCTGCTTTGTAGCCCTGCACAAGTCACCTCACCTGTCCTTTTTCAGTTTTCCTATCTGTTATTGGAGATAAGACATTCACCTACTTTCAGGGATGCTGTGAGGATTAGTGTCTAGAACTTGCTTTGAACATTTAAAGCATTATGTAAATACATTTACAAAATGAAAATACTTAGTATTTATATTTGTTTAAAGTACCACACTGCCTAAAAGTTGAAACATAATACTATCTGAAAGAAGAAATGCACCAATTTGAATTACTGAGTATTGTATAAGATCTCTCAAATTGTCTGTATTTATGGTAATAGACTTTTGCAAACATTTCTTCCAATTTAAAATGTATTCTACAATGTTTTGTTAAACTTGTTGGCAGGATGACCCATCTGCAATGGATTTTGTTACTTCTGCTGCAAACCTCAGGATGCACATTTTCAGTATGAATATGAAGAGCAGATTTGATATCAAGTGTAAGAATAAAATTAATAATGACTTCATTAAATGAAGTATTTTTCTCTAGCACTCTTTTAAAGGTTCATGCACTGGAAAAAAAATCTATTTCTGCTTTTTTTTTTTTTTTTTTTTTATTAATTGCTGGAAATATAATCCCTGCCATAGCTACAACTAATGCAGTGATAGCTGGTTTGATAGTGTTGGAGGGTTTGAAGATTTTATCAGGAAAAATAGAGCATTGTAGAACGGTAAGTGAGATAACATTTTTGCTTTTGTTTTTAAGTTATTCATTATATATTTGACCCTAATTTTTTGCCCTCTTCTTCCTCAAAGATTTTTCTAAACAAACAACCAAACCCAAGAAAGAAGCTACTTGTTCCTTGTTCCTTGGATCCTCCAAATCCCAATTGCTATGTGTGTGCAAGTAAACCAGAAGTGACAGTGAAACTTAATGTACACAAGGTTACTGTGTTGACATTACAGGATAAGGTAAAGACTCTGAAACCTTAAATGTCATTTTTTACTTAGCCTTCGCATTTTTTTTTAATTTAAATCTGAGGTTAAGTACCCTTATTGTACTACAAAATTTTGTTGATATTTTAACCTTTTTTATTAAGGTATGTTGAGGTTAGCAATTATGGTACTAAGAGGAGAAAGGGGAACAAACTAATTAAATATACTTTTTAATTTGCATTTTAAAATCTGTAAGGGAAGTCTAAAGACAAATGTCAGTTTCAGAGATTAATTTTGTTAAATAGAAAATGAAATTAAATTCCCTAACTGTATTGCTAGTAATACCTCAGATTATTAAAACTGACTTGTTAAATCCTACCGCAAAGAGCTGCTTATACAATACTGTCATTGTATAGGAATGTTTGAATTTTGTAAATTTTCAGTGAAAGTAATAAAATCCATTATAACATCCTGTCTCTTGCTGAGTATCTTAAAATTAGATTTTAAAAAAACCTAAAAGAGAGGGCCCCAGTTACATACTGTAGACGTTTTTTGTATTGACTGGGTCTTGAGATTCCAGTTATGGTGGAGGAATTTAATTTGATCAAATGAATAAGATATATTTTTAATAGGCTTTAAATGCAAATGCCTCAAGAAGAAGAAATTATTGATCTTAAAATAGTGTGTTCGATATTTGTCATTTTTATCCTTTCAGATAGTGAAAGAAAAATTTGCTATGGTAGCACCAGATGTACAGATAGATGATGGAAAAGGGACTATTCTCATATCTTCAGAGGAGGGAGAAACAGAAGGTATGTCCATGCTAGCGTTCTGGTTCGTTTGAAACGGCATTAAGTCCAGATGGCTTAGTATAGTGTTGTTTGAACCTTTTTATTAGTAATCCTGTGTATAAAACAAAAACCTCCCCAGAAGTTGTGCACAAATATATTAAAAGATATTAAGGGTTAAGTTGGATGCAGAGCAATCAGGAAATGGAATCAAAATGTTTTTCAGTTCCTTTATTCTTCTGTTTTGCCAAGGTAGTGGAAAGATCATAAGGGTTACAGTGTGTATATAAAAATGGGGTGAAAATGAATAAGAAGACTCTGAATCTTCTGGCTTTATGCTTTAAACTCTACCTATAAAACTTGAATGTATATTTGTACCTTTTTGAATTATTTTATAATGTAGGAAACATTTTATTTAAAGAAAACAAATGTACCTTACCAGTCTCGTTTTCTTACAGTGAATTACTTGTTTTAAAAAGCAGACTCCTATTCATTGAAGTACTAGTACTAATTCTAGTTCTTACCATAATTTTTGTAAAAATAAATTCTGTAAAATATTTCACTATTTTCGTAGCAAATAACCACAGGAAGTTATCAGAATTTGGAATTCGGAATGGCACTCGGCTACAAGCAGATGATTTCCTGCAGGACTATACGCTGTTAATCAATGTGCTTCACAGGTAAGGATTTTGGAACATTTGTTTTCTTATATATAATATATATTCTATAGAATTGTTCTAAGGAGAATTTTAAACACACAAGTTTAAAACATTAAATGACTAAAAACATATGAAGACTTTGGGAACATTTGTCTTACTGTTGGATTGAAATAATTGACAATTTTACTGCAAGAAAAGGAACTTGGAGAGATCTTAGTTTAATTAAACAGTTTTATGATACACAAACAAGAATGTAGTGTATTTGCAAAATAAGTACAGTTGGTGGATCTCAAAGGAGAAAAGAGGTATAGCTTTCTGGACTATCATATCAAAAACTACTAACTAAATAGAAGATTGCTTGACTACTTAACTACCTGTGATCAGAATAAGGGGTTGCATGTTTGGTGCTCAAACTCAGTAGTCAGTTGAAAATCTTGGCCTGTTTTTTTACCTGTATAGAATGCTTCTAGAACTAAGGTAAACATAATTATGTGCTGGGGAAGCTGAGTAAATTATTTACATTCTTATAAAATAGATTCATTCACTCAGCATTTGTGATGAACACAGAAAATGGGCATTTAAATTGAAGGAAACTGAGAGGAAAAAAAGTTCAAATGACTATTTCCCTCAGTGGTGGTGTTATTTGAAGAGGCATTCTCAGACAGGCCATTGAAGCAAGGTGTGTATGTGAATACAAAAAGCATGTCAGTCAGGAGGGAGCTTGAACAGCTTTTCTGTTTATTATCATTGTGATAATTACATGTTGCTCTCTTAGTAGTGGAGTCAGATATGTGGTTTTGTTTATGAAAAGATCAGTGTGGATGCTTACATGTTTGATTAAAAGTTTATGGGTTTTTCCACAGTGAAGATCTTGAAAAAGATGTAGAATTTGAAGTTGTTGGAGATGGTCCTGAAAAAGTTGGCCCCAAACCATCAGAACCAATTTCTAAGAACATTACCAATGGTAGTGATGATGGAGCACAGCCATCAACTTCAACAGGTAAAGAATACTTATGCGATTGAATTAAAAGCTCCTTTTTCTAGAAACCTACCTGTTTGATTGTGCACTACAATTAAAACATAAAATAAGTGTCCTTTACATGATGACTTAAAGCTAAGTCAGTGTTTCTAATGTGAAATGGCAGTGGGGACCAAGATACCTATTATGAAGGCATCTTATGTGTATATAACATATAAATAGTAAAAAATGAACCTTTGAGATTATCATTAAAATGTTAATATTTTATCTTAAATGTAAACTTTTTAAAATCTGAACTACTTGAATAGTTTTTCTTATAAGGAAGATGTTGTTTAACGGCAAAGGATTTTGCAGGCATAGAGCAGTTAAAGGACTAGAGTGTCATTTGCAATGATTGTGTAAAATAGACTCATCATGTCGTCATACTGTATGTTGGTGAATAAATAAAATTATTTTTATGAACCCACACAAAGCAAATACTTCCTGTGTTGCAGCTTTTGAACTGGTTGATGCTGGTGGTAGTTTGACCAAAAAAATCAATTATATAGATAGATATACACACACACTAATAATATCTAGCTCTTAAATTTTATTAAATTTTTAAATTTTCATCAGCAGATCTCAAAGCAGTTGTATTATCCCCATTTTACAGATGGGGGAACTGAGGCACTGGGAGGGATGTGTCAGCCAGTAGGACAGTACCAGGGCTGGGTATAAAACCAAGTCCAGTGTTCTGGGCACTAGGACACACTGGGAAAAAGGAGGCACTTAAAGCAAAGTGCGGTGAAAGCAGTATTTGCTAACCAGAAAAATATCCATACCTTCTCCTGCAGTTTTAGAATGTCTGTCTGTCTGAAGGTATCCTAAATAGTTTAAGAAATAACTCAAATGGATATGGGACGCTAAAATTTGAGTTAAGATATTTGAAACTTCCTACTATGCACTCAGAGGTAGCACAGAAGCACAGATTATATGAAACTGAAAGCTTGTTTTGTGTAGACATTATTATACGTGTATTCTGTTTTATAGTTTTTCGTGGTTCCACCCAAAATATATATGCAAAAAAGTGATCACTTTCCCATGCCACTTAATTTATTACTTTTTCTAAATTGAGAATAAGCATTAGAGTATGGTCAGAATTATTTCAAATTTAGATAGACACAATTTTTATAAAACCTTCGAAAAAAGTTTCTACAGTATATTCATATAGAAAACAGGGTTCTTAAAAGGTAAATCTACTTTTCTAATGTATCCTTTCTGTTCTCTTTACATCTTCCATTGTCATCTTTTAGCCCTTTGTTAACACAGCTTCCCGTCTATTCTTTTTCTCTATTCCTGGTTCTTTTTCACTCTTATGGAATATGACTGTTAATAGAAGTTCTAGTTATTCACTAAGAGTAAAAGTTGAAGATGGACTGGGACTCAAGTGTGTAATTATTCTGGACTTAAAACACCTGCACATAGGGCATATGTGCATTTCATACTGACTTTGCATGTGCACAAAGATTTTGCCAATTAACCCTTATCCCAACAAAAAAGTATTGGACGTTCGAGGGTGGGAATGGCTTATCAAAAAACAATCAGTGCATTTTTTGCATTGAAAGCATTTTTCTATTTTTGTGCTAAATGAAATAGTCAGTTTTTAGAGTATACCAATTGATTATTTTTTTTTAGCTCCAGATCAAGATGATGTATTGATTGTTGACTCTGATGATGAAGGTCCTTCGAGCAATACTGATGATGATATGGAAAATAAAAACCGCAAGAGAAAACTAGAAGATAGAGAGCATGTCAGTACAAAGAGAATGCGTACAGACCAGACAGAAGAGCAAGATGACATAATAGCACTAGACTGAGTGCAAATACCCAACGATAGAACGATATAGATAATGTAATACAATAAGATATTACTTTGGGGTGTGTTAAATGTCCAGAACTAGACTATTTTTATGGCCTTTGTTCCCAGGGAGAATCACACCACTGGCTTACAGAATTTGTGTCCATTCCTCTTGATGATAAAGCACTCATTTCAATAGAATCTTAGAAGTTTTCCAATATCCTATATTAAATGTAGTAGAAACTTAGTTTATAAATACTTAAACATAAGTATTTGCTTAAACAGTCATGAAAACAAAGCATGTTATTTTTATGTAAATACGTTTAGATATAATTCATTAGGACAAAAAACTACTCTTGTTTAGTAAAGGGTCATCATTTGAAACCCAGATTTATAAATATTAGATTTTTATTTTCGCTAGACAAAAAATATTTTTAGCCTAGATCTAACCATTTTTCACACCCTCAACTAATTTGAGATAGCAGATTCTTTAAAAACAGAAATAAGAAGTGCTATGTTTAAACTCTCTGATCTTAAACATCAGCTGGCACTGTGTACATTACTGTAAAACAATGTTAATTTACTCAAGTTTTTCAGCACGTACTGCCTGGTATGTCAATGTAAGAAGCAAATTTTGTGTATTGTTACAGTTTCAGGTTATTTATATTTGCTGTTTTGTAAAACTCCAATACTATTACTATACTGTACATCTCATGGACCAAATAAACGACATCTGAAATACTTGCTATATCTGTTTGCACAGTCCAAGTTTGTGTGGAATTCTGGGATATTTTACAATGTATACAGTCTTCAGAAATTAATACTGTACTATCTTCATTTTTGAAACATAATCTCATAGTACAGAACTTAAAAATTAATTTGTTTGAGGTAGAAGGGGAATTTTTTTTAATAAAACTTTTTTTCCAATCAATTATTGGCCTATTCAATGTGAGCATTTAAACCACCTTTTTCCAGGTTGTAATCTCCAATGAATATTGCTACTTAATGGCTTTGGAAAGGGCTGGCACTGGTCTTCATGTGGTTCGTTAGATTACACTAAAACTACTGTTATGGATTTCTTTCTAACAAGAAGTTCTGTAGTTCAGTTTGGTATTTGAAAAATTACTGTGTGGTAAATGTGTACGTTTTGGAACAATATTTTTAAAGTATTAAATTTTTGTTCATTTTCGTAGTGCCCAAAGTTTGCAATATGTCTGCAACATATTTCAACTTGAGGTGAAGATTTTGCAGGATTACTACTATTTTACCAAAGTTATTTTCAAAATGGAAGACCACCAATTGTATTGAACCAACACTGCTTGCTTTAGTATGACTAGTGTTAGCCCTACAGAGCCAATAAAATTGACCAAATGAGTTCTATTATTATGGCTTGCACATCAACAGAATTTTAAATGAAATTCTCAGCAGAATCTGTTGATTATGATGTGCAGTACAGAAATAACCCTACTTAACGTTCAGATTCCTGGTAGAGTGTCTGGGCTGTGGCATCTACATAAGCTACTTTTTCAACTGTAAACAAAGCAAACAATATAGATGCCAACAAGACAAAAAGTACAGGATTCCCCAATTCCATATTTAGTCGTCTTTCGTACTGTAATTTTGATATAAGACTGGTTTTGCAATTCAGATATCCAAATATGAAATTCCAGGTCTAGATGCTTAGTCTTTTTCTTTTGTTGACAGGGCAGGGCAGGACAGGACTTGATGACAAGTTGAAAATGAAGACATGATCCAAAAGTGTTTTTAATCATGCCAAAGTAGCATCAATTTGAAAAGAGAAAAGAAATTTTGACAGAGGACTAATGTTCTTGATATTTTACTTCTGTAGCTTTCTGTGTGCATGGGGAATTCAAGTACAAGAGTTTGGATAATGTGTCTTTGCGGCCCTTCTTAAAAAGAATCTATAGACTGTCATGAATACGTGTTCAGATGTAAATCTTCCTTTACTCAACTGTTCAGTACTTCCAGAAAATTAAGGCAAATGCACTTTTTCTTTACAAGGTTTGTGTATGTGTTTTAAAAGAAACTTTATGGCTTCATTACTACTGCTTGTGATCTATATAGTAGAGCTTTGCTGTCATGCCACAATCAGAACCTCATGCCATCTAGGCTAACAGCGTGTGTCCAAGATGCTGTAACCTTGTCTCATATTTGCTTGCTAGCAATGACTGGTATGCAAGACCTTAGAGAAATACCCACCATTTGTATCTATCAGGGAAAGCTACAGTTTTGATTAACTTTCTAATATCAAGTTTACTCATGTTGAGGATTGCTTTTCATCTCTTGGAATTTGAATTTGGTATGAACCAAATGGCTAAGATTTTCCTCTAAACAACATAAGCAACTTTGCAACAGGATTTTCTTGCAGATTGGAGAATGGAACCTTGGGATCATGACTCTCAATTCTCTGCTCTAACAATTAGATTTACTTTCTTGAGGGACTTCTTATCACCACTATTCATTTTGTTCCATTGTCAAGGAACGTTCAAAGGCATCAGTGTCACAAATTGGAAGGCTGGAGGGAGACAAGAAAATGCAGGGGAGGGGAACCCAAACCCTCATTCTATGCTTTTTGGTCACTGGTCCCAAACACTTAGGTGTTCTATCTGTTGTTGTACAGTACTGAAATGCTGTATTTTATATTACAGCAGTTTCCCAAAGTTTGTGGGGAACACTCCCCTTGGTGTTGCACATTGCCACCGGCTTTGCCAGCTTGTTCTATCCCTTGAATAAACCACGATAAAATCAGATTCCAGAAATCTGCAGTACGGAGCTAAAATGTGGTAGTATTTGGCCCTAAACTTTGAATCGTCGGCGTTAAGAGCCCGGCATTTGTGTATGTGGTAAATATTTTACCTGTCTGTGAATGTGTGATTTTTCTGTACTACTTAGAAGTATTGTATACCCTCATTTAACTAAATTATTAGATGTGAAAACTTATATGTGAACAATTCAGTTAAAATCTTGTATTTGCTGAGTGAAGTTTCCATGTAACCAATGCATCACTGTCTGATTTACAACTTGAAATCTAGCCTAAAATATAACACTGCTCATTCAAAAAAAAAAAAAAAAAAAAAAAAACAATTTTTTTAGGAGTTGAGCTCTTTTTTGTTTAGGTAATCAATACTTGGGTAACTAAACAAGTTCTGAGACTTTTCTTTCTTTTAAAAAAATATTTAAAAGGGAGTTATAAAAATACTGCCTTTAAACAGGCAGTTTCTATAGAAATAGGTGACTTCAAGATGTGCTGTTCATTTAGTGCTGGCTATTCTCTTGGGTCCTTTATTAAGTTCAGCAATACTTGATGAACCACTAAATATGCAAACTGGCTCTGAGAGCAAATGAAAGTCTAAATTTCAGAATGATGGAAGTGTGGATCGCCTTAATTTGGCTAGCATCACCACATTACAGTAGGATTTTTTTTCACCTAAACTTTATCTTGCTGCTGACAGCTGTAGATTTTTTTAAAATTAACAGAAAACTGAACAAAGAATTTCTGAAATTTCCCATTTTCAGCTATGACAATTTCAGTTGTTAAACTCTTTTTTTGTACAGGTGTTTTTAAAAAGTAAGAAAATATACTCGAGAAGATTAGGCCTAATAGTTAAAACACAAAAGGCGGAGTCAAGAGATTTAAATTCTTTCACAGTTTCTCACTTGAGTTACTGTATGATGCTAAGTAAGGCCTTGTCTCCATTAGAGACGTTTGCAGCAGTATAATTGCTTCAGTGTGGTTACACCAGTGCAAACTGCTAATTGTACTGATGTAAAGCAGTTCTTGTGTTGGTGCAACTTGCTATGGTTATTTATTACATTGATGCCATTTTACCTAGTGTAGTTACCTTGGAAAGTAGCCACAAAGAGGCTGTAAAAGAGGGTTAGTACTTAATGCTTGTTACTTTATGGGCATGTTCAGAAGCCTAATTGTCTATTTGGGGTGCTGGAATTAAAAGCAGTGTACAAGTACAGAGAAGTATTTACCATAATTAAATATGAACATATGCATTTGCTTCCACCTCAAACATCCTTACTAAACTGGGTAATGGAAACTAGCATGAAATTAAAATGGAAGCTCACGCTCCTTTGTTCTGTGGACTGTTTTGTGGGAAGAGATTCTTGTGGACTCTCTTTCCCTTCCCAACCCTGCACTCAAGCAACTACTTGGTTCTCAAAATATTTTGTGGCAGACTAACCAACTCCTCCACTGAACTGTCAAAATGAGACTTTTTTCCTGTCCCCTTCAGCCAGGAGAAAGCCTAAGTTGGGCAACTGACAACAATTCACTGGCCTGGTTCCTGAAAAATCAGCTTTGAAACTGGTGTTACTAATTTACTGCTTGTAGTAGTTCCATCTGATACCTTAATTTTGTTCTGTGACAATTATGAGCCATCCAGAGACATAAATGAACTCCTGGTCAATGCCTATTGACTTTCACAGCAGCCAAGTAGCATCTAATTTACAATTTCAAATTGTGATCCTTACAGTAAGGCCTATTGCCAACCACTTCTTGGATCCTGTAGGCTAAGCAGATTTAGACTCTGTCAGCAGTATAATGACACTGTCAGTATTGCCTATCTCAAGCATTCAAATATGAGTCAGGCCACAAAATCATAAGACTGACTTAAAATCATGTTTTGTTTTGTTTTTAATTTTAAACTCGGGGTTCTTTTTCTTTGCTTTTTTTTGGGGGGGTTGCAGGGGAGGGGAGTGAGTTGAACCTTTTGGGTACACACTGGTTTACATTTTCAAGCTTTGCTCTGCAACTTTGAGAGATGGGTACTTAGTTGTTTTTTTAATGGCACTGCGATTCTTATGTAATCCTTTGATTTCAGGACCTGGTGCTTTAAGAAAAACAAGAAATACTGCAAGAGTCAGTAACACTGTTATTTATCATTCATATAACATCAGCAATGTATTAGGGTCTGTATGGACAGCTGAGAAGATGTCCTTGTCCAAAGAGCCTACAATCTAAGCAGATTGGCATACGGTAGAGGGAATGGCATGTACCTAGCAGTGAAGTGGTAGAGTGGTGAAATGGGCAGTTTAGTGCCTGACTTTGTTGTAGTGACCCTTCTTTGAGGAAGGATGGATGTATAAGATAGCTCAGCCTTCTGGGAGAAAGGTGTTTTAAGGAAAGAATTGAAGGAAGAGAGGCTGGAGGCTGGTTAGACTGGCAGAAGACTGGGCAACAAAAGTAAGAGAGGGCCTTGAAGAAGGCTGGTGGTCATGACTGAGGAGAGCATAGGGAAAATGATATCTTCAGAAAGCAATAGTGATAGAGTAGGTGACTGTCTTCTCTCTTAGGGTACATCTACCTTGGAGCTGTAATTTCCAGCTCCAATAGACAATACTGTACCTGTACTAGCTCTGAGCTAGTGCACGAAAAATAGAAATGTTGCTGCAGAAATGCAAATGGCAGGAGAGGCTAGTCCCCCACAAGTACTTACCTAGGGTTTCAGATGGTATCCTACTCGTGGCAGCTAGCCCATCCTGCTGCTTGCACTGCTATTTTTTAGCACTGTAGCTTGATCAAACCTATCAGGGGTAATTACACCTCCAGCTCCAGTCAAGACATACTCTTAATCAATGAGCCATGGCTCAACATCATGCTGGGAGTGCTGTGCTGCTGATGGAGCGATCTTTGTAATTAGCTATAAAACAAGTTCCTTGACCAACTGTAGTGAGGGAAGTTCCCACTAAACATTTCATAAGTTAGGGGCTCCAACGCCCTGAGCAAATTCCAAGCCACGGTAAGTATCTTCTTCCTTCCTAAGGTCCATTGATGTTCCTATTGGTAACATTGTTCCTCCCTTCCTGTACTATATATCATAGTTTTGTAATTTTGCTGTGTTACTGTTTCTCCCCCTA